AAGAACCCTTTGGTTTCTCAGTGGGACATGCTATTATATCTTCTCTGTCAAAATTATTTTTTCTAGTAATTTTTTCTAGTAATACACTACCTGTAATTCCAAATTGTGTTTTATTGCCATTAATTTTATCTTCTCTCAGAAGGTCATATGTATAACAAGTAGTATCATACATTTGAACTTGTCCAAAATAGACTTTATGAGGTGCTGGTTGCCATATCATTTAGAACTGTGTTTGGCTATACAGAATATAAACCTCTATTACAGTGATTTTAAAAATTGAACTTCGGAGGTGCCTGGGTGGCTCAGTTGGTTAAGCATCTGACTCTTGGTTTTGACTCAGGTCATGATACTCATAGGTTGTGAGATCGAGCCCTGCATCGGGCTCCACGCTCAGCGGGGAGTCTGCTTGAAGATTCTCTCTCTCTGCACCCTCTTTCCACTCGTGCATGCCCTCTACCTCTCTCTCTCTCATAAATAAATAAATCTTAAAAAAACTGAACTTCATTTTTTTACATAAAAAAATCCCATAAGTAGAGGGCTCCTGGGTGGCTCAGATGGTTAAGCATCTGCCTTCAGCTCAGGTCATGATCCCAGGGTCCTGGGATCGAGTCCCACATCGGGCTCCCTGCTCCTTGGGGGCCTGCTGCTCTCTCTCTCTCTCTCTGTCTCCTGAATAAATAAATAAAATCTTTAAAAAAAAAAAATCCCATAAGTAGGGAGTTGGTGTGGATTCAACTGCTCAGTGATACCATGAGGACTTACATTCTTCCTGTTATTTGGCTCCCTGTTCTTAACAGGCCAGCATGTTGGTCATGTTTACAGGATGGCTACAGTATTTCTAAGCTTTACGTTCTTGTTCCAGTCAAGAGAAAGTGGGAAAGGTTAAGGGCTAACCTGCTGTTCCTGCTCACCTTTATTACGAAAATAAAAAGTTTCCGTAACTATTAACACAGTTCCTCTTAAATCTCATTGACCATAGTTGTGTCACATGGTTTTCCCAGCCACAGGGGAGCCAAAAGCAGGCATGTCATGTTGGGCTGGGCACAAACTGCCTTAATCAAAGTCAGGGGAAAAAAAAGAGGTATGTATGTATACGGAGTAGGCAACAAATAATGTCTCTCAAAGTACTGTGCCAAAGTTTGATTATTTTACCTGTTATTTTAACACAGATGGCATTTAATTAGTAAGAAATTGGCTACAACAACAAAACAGAAAAAAGAAGAAAGGGAGAAAACATTTTCTGTCAGTTTCTCTATACTTACATTATAAAACTAGATAATAGAATTTCTTATGACTGCTCCTTTGTGTAATATTATTATACATTGTTGGGTATAAACAAATAACAACTACAGTCATACCTTGAAATAGTTAATAAAATAAATATGTTTGCATTTGAAAAAAATGTTATGAAGTGTTCCAATTGGAATACTGTTTTTAATCCATTTAAGTGAATTTCTTTTGGGAGAGATGATTTTCCCGTTGTATGAATATATAAAGACATTTTGCAGGGTGCCTGGGTGGCTCAGTCAGTTGGGCGTCTGCCTTCAGCTCAGGTCATGATCCCAGGGTCCTGGAATTGAGCCCCGTATCGGGCTCCCTGCTCCAGGGGAAGCCTGCTTCTCCCTCTGTCTTTGCCTGCCACTCCCCCTGCTTGTGCTTTCTCTCTTTCTCTGTCAAATAAATAAATAAAAAAATCTTAAAAAAAAACAAAAACATTTTGCAGATGGCATGATCTTATAAATGGAGAACTGTAAAGGCTTTACCAAGAAACTGTTACAACTAATAAACAAATTCAGGAAAGTTGCAGGATACAAAATCAACATGCAGAAGTCAGTTGTGTTTCCATATGGTAACAACAAATCTTCCAAAAAAGAAATTAAGAAAACAATTCCATTTTAGTAGCATCAGAAAGAGTAAAATACTTAGGAACAAATTTAACCAAGGAGGTTAAAAACTTATGCAAACTATAAAACTATGATGGAAGAAACTGAAGGTATAGATGAATGGAAAATTATGCTGTGTTAATGGAGTAGAAGAATTAATCTTAAGATGTCCATGCTGACCAAAGTGATCTACAGATTCAGCGCATTCTCTGAAAATTCCAGTAGCATTTTTCATAGAAAAAAACAATCCTAAAATCATTGTGGTAACACAAAGGACCCCAAATAGCTAAAGCAGTCTTGAACATGAAGAACAAAGTGGGAGGCATCATACTTCCTATCTTCAAACTATATTTCGAAGCTGTAGTTATCAAAACAGTATGGTACTGGCATAGAAAGACACATAGATCAATGGAATAGGATAGAGAGCCCAGAAATAAAACCACACATATACAGTCAACTTGGCTTTGAAAAGGGTGCCAAGAATGTAGAATGGTTTTGGTAAAAATGGATATCCACATGCAAAAGGATGAAATTGAACCCTGATGTTACACCATACACACAAATCAAACCAAAATGGATTAAACATTTAAATGTGAGGCCTGAATCTGTAAACATCCTAGAGGAAAATAGGGGAAAATCTCCTTGGCATTGGTCTTGAGAATGGTTTGTTGGATTTGACATCACTAGTACGGCAACAAAAGCAAAAATAAACTAGTGGGACTACGTCAAGCTAAAAAGTTTCTCTACAGCAAACGAAACAACAGAATGAAAAAGGGACCTACAGAATACGAGAAAATATTTTGGGCGCCTGGGTGGCTCAGTTGGTTAAGCGACTGCCTTCGGCTCAGGTCATGATCCTGGAGTTCCAGGATCAAGTCCCGCATCGGGCTCCCTGCTCAGCGGGGAGTCTGCTTCTCCCTCCAACCCTCCCTCCTCTCATGTGCTCTCTCTCTCTCTCATTCTCTCTCTCAAATAAATAAATAAAATCTTTTAAAAAAATATTTTCAAACCATAGATCTGAAAAGGGGGAAATGGAGAGATATTGAGCAAAAGGGACAAAGTGTTAGATATAAAGTGAATAGTTCCAGGGACCTAATGTATAGCATGGTGACTGTTGTGAGTAATACTGTATCATATACTTGAAATTGCCAAAAGAGGATCTCAAATTTTCTCCGCCCCGCCCCCCCCACACAAAGGTAATGATGTGAGGTGATGGGTGTTTTCGTTAGCTTGGTTGTGGTACTCATTTCATGGTGTATACATATATCAAAACATCATGCTGTACACCTTCATGTGTCCTACACAATTCTGCTTTAACAGTCACACCCCAGTAAAGCTTAAAAATGGAAGAAGAGAAAATGAGGTGACAATTTCTTTTGGAGGAGATGATTTTCACATTGTATAAATAACTTAGTTATTGTTACAGGCAGGTTTATGGTGGACAAATTTTAAAACAATCTGGTTTTTAAGTATCACATCTCAAGATGGATTATTTTATCAAAATGTAATGAAAAAATTTTGACTGGGTGTGAGGAAGACTTTCATTATGTTGGGAATGGAGCTTTAGAAAAATATATTTTTTAATTAGAACTTTAAACTTCAAAGTGAGATTTTTCCACCCTTTTTTTTTTTTACTTTAAATAATTTTAAATTTGTTTTACTGATAAAAGGAAATGATGTAAATCATTCAGTTTGTGGCATAGGTATATTGTCACTATGTTTTGGAATTTAACAAACATAATACACGTTAACAGTATACATAGGCACTGAGGTAGATTTTGTGGAAAATGACACAATCCTCCCTTTTGGGGTAATTGGGGTAATTAATTAAATTGTGATTACTTAATTATTTAATGGAAGAAGTAGATATTTAAGACAGGCTTATATAGAATTTGGTGGAGAGATATAGGTGCAGAGACAAGCTCATCTTTCTATAGTGCTTGTCCCTCTGCTTCTCTGGCCCTGTTGAACTCTTTGTAGTTTCTCAAGTGTTCTGGGCTCTTTGATTATTCTGTATCTTTGCAGGGCTTTTTATTTGTATGTTTTTAGAATTCCCTTACTTGTTTGTCAGCTTGGCAATTTCCTGTCTTCCAAGACTGTTCAAAGAACATCTTCTCTGTGAAATCTTCCCTGAACTTCCTGGGTAAAGTTGGGTTCTTCCTTTACCTTTCTCCCACAGTGCATTTTCTCTGTTTCTGTCTCTGTCTCTGTGTCTCTCTCTGTGTTTGTAGTGTGTTAACCTCGAAAGTAAAACTGTCAGTTACAGTACCAGCAAAATGGGTTTATTGAGCAATAATAGAATTGCAATTTGAGACATGCAAGTTATGGCAAAACCATAGGCGAGTCCAGAGAACAAAGGAGAGGAATGACTCTTTTATGTGGAAAAGGGGGCATTCAGAGAAGCAGTTATAAACTTTGTGTTATAAATACAAAGCCCATTGGACTAAACTGGGTGTTTGAAGTGTAGTGGCTTTATTTGGCTGAGTTGTGATGGTCTGTCTTTGGCTGGGCTGTTGTCAGGCAAGGAGAAAATCTTCCTCCTACTGGGGTAGTAAAATATAGGCTTCTTCCTGTTGGGAATGCAGAGGGCTGCAAAGAATAGTAGGGTGTGAGAGTTCCCCCTTCTTGTCTCCTGACTATTTTAAAGGGGCCTTCCTTTATTCAGTTTCACAGGGCTCAGTGTCATTATCACAATACACCATTTATTTATTTGTCTGTCTCTGCCACAGTTTGTGAGTTTCGTGAACATGAGGGCTAAGCTATATCATATTTATCTCCAAATCCTAGTGCCTGGTGTAATGGTTTTATATATTGGATCATTCAGTGAGTGGTCATTGGATGAATGAATGGATGGTTGAATAAAGAGAAAGCATTAGCCCAGAGTTTATTCAGGAGTACTGGGGAAGTCTGTCCAGAGGGAATGTGGTGAGAATACTTAACCCTGCAGGTATGGAGAGGTTGTAATTTATCTGTATTTAGAGATAGGCTTGAATAGGCAAAGTAGGACTGGTTGGCAATGGAAGTTTTAATAAATAATGGAGTAATAATTAGTAAAAGTTCTGAAATTGTTCTTTAAAGCCCCCATTGTTGAACCACACTTGCTTTTGTATTTTGTAGTGCTTCCACGTCTCATTCAGAGAATTCAGTGCATACAAAATCAGCTTCTGTAGTATCATCGGACTCCATTTCAACTTCTGCAGACAACTTTTCTCCTGATTTGAGGGTATGTACGCTATTTTTTTGTGCTATTTTGATGTATTGTTTGTTAGCTGTTTGTGGCCAACACTATGAATATAGCCTTGCACTAAGTAAGCAGGAGATCTTGATGGAGTAGTCTCCCAAGACTTACGTCTCTATAAAATAGCCCAGAACAGGTCAGCAGATTTAGAAATCTTACTTATTTGTAAAAGAAAAATGTGTAATTCATTCCTAAGTTTGATAACTTTGAAGTTCTTTACAAAAAGATAGTTAATGGGTATTGTGGTATAAAAGATTTTCATGATTACTCCCATAATGATGGCCACTAATAGCTAACCTTTTTTGGGTACTTACCATGTCCCAAGTGTTGTTCTAAGTCCTGTAATGAAATATCTCTTGTAATACTTTTTCCAGTTCTATGAAGTAGAGACTGTTTTCATCACCATTCTAGGGATAATAATAACTCATAGAGATTAATAACATGTCTAAAGTCTCATCGCTAATAAATTCTCTATCTAATCTTCTAGCTCACGTAGTCCAGTTCTAGAGCTAAGTCACTTAAATATTGTACTATAGTTGCTACACATCTCATTATAGTTTAAATATTCTTGTATTTGTTCAGGGTCTTGTTGCTATGAAATTAACCGCACCAGTGATATCCTGTAGCACTTTGTATGTTTTTGGATTCATCTGCCTTGGAGAAAATGAATTTCATGTGCAGTGCTAACCCTTAAACCTTAGAGTCTTTTTATCCTGACAAAGTGGCTGCTTTCCCAGTGGTTATACTTTCACAATTTTAATGAGAACATTGTTTATATTCATGAAATCATTTGCTGTTGAGCATATACTGAGACTGTATCTTTTTCTTGTGTTTCATTTTCAAAACAGAATCCAACAAATAAATATAAGAATACAGATTACAAACATCTGTAAAGGCTTCTGCTTTTTTGTCCTTATGGGTTGTGAATTGTCATAAAATAAAGTTTGGGTATAACCTGACTTTAAACATCACTAAAAATAATGAAGATTTATCTTTATAATCTGGATATATTTTGTGCTAATTATGAAGGCTTCATAATGTCTTTAGCTGTTATCTTGATGCATAACATACATTAAGGGCAGGGTTCATCATTCTTTTTTTTTTTTTTTAAGATTTTATTTATTTATTTGACAGAGAGAGACACAGTGAGAGAGGGAACACAAGCAGGGGGAGTGGGAGAAAGAGAAGCAGGCTTCCCACTGAGCAGGGAGCCTGATGCGGGGCTCAATCCCAGGACCCTGGGATCATGACCCGAGCCGAAGGCAGACGCCCAACGACTGAGCCACCCAGGCGCCCCAGGCAGGGTTCATCATTAATAATAATGGATATAAACCCATCGTTCCCTCTCCTTAATTTGTTGCTATTTAAAAACATATCTTTTATATATGTGTCGAACTTTTGTTTATTCATTATGTTAATAAAAATCCACTGAAGGCCTGTGAATTTTTTTGGCCTACTTCTAGGCAGATTATATTAGTTAAAAGCATCATTTTTTTTTTAAAGATTTTATTTATTTATTTGAGAGAGAGAGCAAGTGAGCAAGCACAGGGGGAGGGGCAGAGGGAGAGAGACAAGCAGACGCCGTGTTGAGCATGGAGCCTAATGTGGGGCTCAATACCACAACACTGAGATCACGATGTGAGCCAAAACCAAGAGTTGGATGCCCAGCTGACTGAACCACCCAGGCGCCCCACATCATTTATTTTTAACTTTATGTTGTGATTGATAAAGAACTCATAACTGGGAATGGGAGAAATGTCACTTTTGCTTCTTGCTGTGCCTGCATTATTAATATTCAACCTGCTGTTTCTTGCCTGAAATAAAGTATAAATAAATGGTTCAAAATAAACCATTTGTGTGTTCTTGTGAGGGTTAATTTAGTTAAACTGTTTAACTAGGCACACATCTGAATTGCAGTACATTGCAGGATACTGAAAGGTGGCCTTTCAGATTTTTTGAAGGCAGGTCTACTTCATTTCCTCGACACCTTACGTATAAATAAGAGTGACTGACTTACACTGGGACAAAATGAGGGTCATAATGTTAACTTGTATATTAAACATTATAATTTATTTCTTACTAGATATTTTAAAAAATTTAGACCACTTTTTGGATTTATAGAAAAATTGCAGAGATAGTAAGGAGTTCCTATGTACTTGACCTTCAGTTTCCTCTGTTATTAATGTCTTACATTTGTGTGGTACATCTCTCAAAAATAATGAACCCATGTTGATACATTATAATTAACAAAAGCCCACAGTTTTTTAAAATACCCTTAGTTTTTACCTGATCTCCTTGTTTTTGTTCTAGGATCCCATCCAGGATATCACATTACATTCAGCAGTCATGTCTCCTTAGGTGTCTCTTGCCTGTGACAGGCTTTTCGACTCTTTGTTTTTGATGATCCTGACAGTTTTAAAGAGCACTCGTCAGATGTTTTATAGAATGTCTGATATTTTACCCATAGACCGGGGTTATGTCTTTTGGGGAAGAAGACCACAGAGGTAAAGGGCCATCTTCATCACATCATGTCAAGGGTATATACCATCAGCATGATTTATCACTTTTGACGTTAACCTTAATCACTTGGTGGAGGTAGTATTAGGGTTTTTCACTGCAAAATACTGTTTTTTATCCCCTCCTTTTTCTACTATACTCTCTGGAAGGAAGTGGCTATGCACAGCCCACATTTAAGCCCACCTTGTTGAGAGTGGGACATCTACATACATTTTTCATAATTCTTCTGTATGGAGATTTGTCTCTTTTCTCTCATTTATTGCTTTATGCAGCCATTTATTTATATCAGTATTTACTTGTGGATATCTATTGTATATTTTGGATTTTAATTCAGTACTATGTTGCTCAAATTGTCCCAACTCCAAATTGAGAGTTATTTCAGTCAGATCTTCTGTCCCTTTGATGTTTTCCCATCATTGTGGTTGTTTTGTTTTGTTTTGTTCTGAGCTCTGTGTTACTACTTTACTAAGTAAGCACTACAGGATACTCCAGGCTCATCTTGATATTTCCTGCCTCAGTCTTAAAATAGTCATCCATTTCTCAAGGAGCCCAGGTTTCTTTTATTGGAGAATGGTATTAGAAACCAAGATCTGGGCACTAGGTGCCCTCCCTCCCTCCC